GAGAAAATAAAGTTGACTCTGGAGACTGGACTTGTAATAAAATTACCTATACATACAGGAAGGGTCCTGCAAGCATTTAAGCATGCTGTACTCTCTTTGGGGCTTATCAGTATCTCAGAACCTTTTGAAAATTGCCCATTATATATTAAAAATATAAAAGGCTGACACATGACCTTTTTTGATTAAAAGCGTTAATGCTGGATTGCCGCTCTCAGAGGAGTCACTTTAAGGATGCAAGATTTAACAGACTTTAAGAATACGACAGGCACAAAGACATTTGAAATCTAATTAATCTCTTGACATTTGACTAAAAGTCAAAGCAGTGGACTACAAGATGGAACAGAGGACCTCACCCGTGAAGGTTGACTACTATTATCTTTCTTTCATGAGGTGTAAATGAGTTATTAAGTGTCTTCTACCAAGGTTTATTGCAGACCTAATCCTCTTTTTAATAACTGCCCATGCATTAAGAGCCTATTGTTTTCTCTTAATACAATCTTGGATGTAACAACTGCTGCAAGCTCTCATTCGTGATTTCACTAAAGGTCTTCTTCATGTATTTACAGCTGTGACAAGTCATTTCTATTGAAAGTTGCTTTGGAAGCTTTAACACAGTAATGTGTGTAAGATGCTTGTTTACACAACCGCTTTCCAAGCCACATGATGGTTATGACAATTTAGGTGATACTCTGGAAATTCAATTTTATTTTAGTATCCAATATTCAGCAGGTACAGCAACTCTAAAATAGAGGGACAGCCTATAATTCATGGTTTATTGTGCAGCAATTTCTGAAGATAAAAAGTAACACATTAGAGTTAACTTCTCTCCATTGCTTTAATATCAATGACACCAACAGGCTATTCCTGCATTGATTTACATCTTTCACCTTCCAAAATAACAACTGATTAAAAGATAAATACCACTATTTATTATTCGGATGAATTTGATTTCTTTTCCCTTTTTTATTTGCATTTAAGCTGCACTGTTTTCAAAATATTTTGTTTAAAACTTTGTTTTTAAAGTATTAGTTGATTTTAAAAGTGACTAATTAGAGTAAATTCATAGGCTTGACTCCACGTACAATGCTCATTATTATTGTTGTTATTATTGGTTTCTATTGATTTGTTGGTTTGTTTGTTGCTCGTATAGGATATTTTGTTTTTTAATGTTTGCTGCTTTGTTGTGTTTATATATATGTTGAAAGTCACCCAGAGTGGCTGGGGAAACACAGTAAGATGGGTGGGATATTGAATATATATATATATATATATATATATATATATATATATATATATATATATTTGCTTTCGTAGATTTTCACGGGTACAGGAATGCAGGTTTTGGTGTCCTCGGGTGTCTTCCCGTGTAAAAGTTGGGGTGTCTAGGCGACGTTTCGACGAAACATCGCCTAGACACCCCAACTTTTACACGGGAAGACACCCGAGGACACCAAAACCTGCATATATATATATATATATATATATACACATATGCAGGTTTTGGTGTCCTCGGGTGTCTTCCCGTGTAAAAGTTGGGGTGTCTAGGCGACGTTTCGACGAGGTCTCACTCGTCATCTTCAGGCTGGTGCTTTCGGCTTCTTGTTACTGGAACAGAGCAGGATCTCAGTGTTTGAGTTCCTATAAATACTGTTGAGGGGGTGTGGTGTATAGCCTCCAATGTTCTGGGCAGAGAGGAAGTTCCCAGGCTAGTGTGCCTTTTCTTCTTTTGTTCCTTAATTACTTGAGGGATATCTTGAGTGATTTCTTGAGTGATATTCTGAGTACCACTTAGGTGGGTCATTAGGTGTGGATTAGTTGCTAAAGCCTTCGTGTCTTGACCTCTTGAACTTTGTGAAGAGTTTTTCTGAGAAGATGGTTGTACTGCACTTAGTTGTGCTCTGGCTTGGCTTCGTGTATAGGGGCGAGCTGTGGTTTTGTGCCCTGTGCCAGCCAGATCTGTGTAGGGATTGCAGGGGGGTGCAGCATCCGGAAGTGCCATGAACAAGCGTGACGACACATGGTTTGCCAGACTGGATGGTAGCCCTCTGTACACCAGATCAGGGAGACGCCATCTGGGTTTCAACCACCCAGACCCAACCAGACCCTCTTTGATGGTTAAGACACCATCCAGTAGCCAAACATGTTGCACCTCCGATGCTGCACCCCCCTGCAATCCGCTACACAGATCTGGCTGGCACAAGCCACAAAACCACATCTCGCCCCTATACACGAAGCCAAGCCAGAGCACGACTAAGTGCAGTACAGCCATCTTCTCAGAAAAACACGAAGGCTTTAGCAACTAATCCACACCTAATGACCCACCTAAGTGGTACTCAGGATATCACTCAAGAAATCACTCAAGATATCCCTCAAGTAATTAAGGAACAAAAGAAGAAAAGGCACACTAGCCTGGGAACTTCCTTCTGCCCAGACACTGGAGGCTATAACCAAACCTTCAACAGTTATTTATGACTCAAACATGAGATCCTTCTGTTCCAGTGCGAACGGCATGATTGACTGTTTGTTCGTCCAACGTCGTAGATTTACACGGAAAACCCGAAAGCAATATATATATATATATATATATATATATATAATATAATATATATATATATATAGTGTTGTTGTTGTGTTAAGGATTGTAGGCTGTTTGATAAGGTTGCTACTTCACATGGCAATCACTAAGCAACATATTCTTAACTTCTATTGTGTGCACAAAATTCAGTACAGTTTCTGGTAGAGAAACATTTCACATATGGTACAAGTGAAGTCACTGTAGCAATGGTACCAAGTACCCTTAAATAATATCCCAATTCAAAATTGCCTTTGTCAATAAGCAAGGAGTAGACAAACATTTTTTTTCTGAGTGACTGAGATTTCAATCTTATGCACACTTACTGAGAAATACCTCCCATTGAACTCAGTGCAACTTAATTCTGAGTTAATATGCTTAGAATTGTATTGCATGCAATTAAAATATATTCCAACTATCTCCAGCAATCTTTTTTGTGCCAATTAGCAACATGCTTATTAATTTTTGATGCTGTTTTGGGCTTGGTGTGTTACTGTCATGCAGGCATTGTAGACTGGTAGCTTTTGTTTAATAAATTGTAAGTTATCTTACATATCTTTCTATATGATAAGAAAGCATTTATATTTTGGGCTCTGATGATATGCAATTTTATTTAAATCTCTTCAAAGGGAGTTTATTAATTAAATAATTAGATAACTAAAATTCCTAAACAGAATCACAGTGGTACTATTTAAAATGATTTCTTTTATTTTCTCCAAGTGTTTTGGTAACCTTTGACTTCTTGGCTTTGACTAATTTCAGATGAGACAGTGTGCTTTTGGACATTGCTGAATACATTTCTCAGCGTTGATTCACAAAGTTTAAAAAAAAACTTTCCCCTGTTCTTCAAACATCAAGAGTTGCTCAAGATGAAAAAAGTGCATTTTGAACAGCATGGTAAAAGCATAAAGTCCTGTGCCCACCCCCCACCCCCCGTTATAGCTGTAAGAGCAGTTGAACAGACAAACATTAAAAGTTCAGAAAGTCAAGAAACAAGATGCATCATGCAATGTGTGTAACAGGTAAACCGGATGTCATGCTATAATATCCTTCATCTGATGCACACAAATTCTTAGACAAAAAGAAAGAAAGAAATGCAAAAACTAACTAGGCTCTTTGATTTGCTTTCCAAATGTAGTTGCTTGGCAGCAAGACAGAGCAGCACATCAGACAAAATCTGAGGGTTAAACCAACAAAACTTTATCTAAGTAAAAAAGGAAACCAAACACTCTAGAGACATATGAATAACATCCCTGTGAGGGTTGCACCTGGCAACCCCGAGGTCACTGGCTGAGAATGCTTTTAAACTGTTAGAATTTTATGATGTTTTAAAACTGTTTGAGTGAGACATTATGTAGAGGATGCTGTTTAAATGGGAACACAAACAGCTTCAGATACACACAGTAAACTCAAGTGCAGAGAAGTCCAAAGAAAACATGGAGGAAAACTTGGGAGTGCTTTTTTAAAATGGGCTATGAGTTTAGTTGGGACGCGGGTGGCGCTGTGGGTAAAAGCCTCAGCGCCTAGGGCTTGCCGATCGAAAGGTCGGCGGTTCGAATCCCCACGGCGGGGTGCGCTCCCGTTGTTCGGTCCCAGCGCCTGCCAACCTAGCAGTTCGAAAGCACTCCCGGGTCAAGTAGATAAATAGGGACCGCTTTATAGCGGGAAGGTAAACGGCGTTTCCGTGTGCTGCGCTGGCTCGCCAGATGCAGCTTTGTCACGCTGGCCACGTGACCCGGAAGTGTCTCCGGACAGCGCTGGCCCCCGGCCTCTTAAGTGAGATGGGCGCACAACCCTAGAGTCTGTCAAGACTGGCCCGTATGGGCAGGGGTACCTTTACCTTTACCTTTATGAGTTTAGTTCTATTCATACACACCAGCCACTATTTTACACTTGACTCTTACTGGTGGATCTTGTGTTTCTAGTAAAAAGGAAAGGAGATCCCACAAGCCTAGAGTCTCTTCTCCTTAAGCTAGGGCAATTGTGGGGAATTGTTTAAAAGTTATTGACTCTGTAACTGTTGACAGCATACTAAATTCTGGAATTAAGGAGAAATCACCAGTGATGGAAGCCATTCTGAGATGGTTATTCTTCCTAAGTCACATTCTGAAGAAACATACAGTGGTACCTCGGGTTAAGTACTTAATTCATTCCGGAGGTCTGTACTTAACCTGAAACTGTTCTTAACCTGACAATGGGGCCTCCTGCTGCCGCTGCCGAAGCACAATTTCTGTTCTCATCCTGAAGCAAAGTTCATAGAATCATAGAGTTGGAATAGACCACAAGGGCCATCAAGTCCAACCCCCTGAAGCACTATTTCTGGGTTAGGGGAGTCTGTAACCTGAAGCGTATGTACCTCGAGGTACCACTGTACTGCCAAATATTTGTGTACAATAGGTGTACAGTGAAACAGTGTTAAAATACATACCTTGCTCATAAAGTAATGTCATGTTTGCTTTCCTACAGGAAACCAGGTTATTCAAGACTGCCACTGCATTTTGCATTGTATTCCCCAGAAGTGCACCTTGATGTTCCTGCAATGAAAACATATCTGTATAAGAATTTTCCTTCCAAGAGTACAAAAAGTTCAGTCACATTGAAAAGGAAGCCCAGTGGGTGATGAAGACTCTAGGAACACCTAATGCTGAAAATAGCTGATACTACGTACCTATCTTATATAATGTTTATTCTAGATATGCAACGGATTAACTTTGACCATAATGAAACTTGCTATTGCACATATTACAATACAAAGAATGGCAATCAAGCAAAGTTCCAATATACAGTCCTGATGTATATTTCCAGGTCTGACTTTGTGGCTACAATCACAGATATGAAGAAAATGTATAGATGTAATCAAATAAGATACTTGCCACCTGTAACCATTAATTTAAACAGCAGCGCTTTTAGTGTTTATTTTCTAACTGCAACAAAAGTAAACAATCAAAACTATAGGAGCAGCCCAAGCCATTTTTGTAGCAGAGGACGTAAATCCAAATGGTGTCCCAATGTGATGACAAAATACAATAAACTAAATAAGTAGGCAATGTACTTCCTCCTATATAACTCAAAATCTATTGCCAATCCTAAAAAAAGTATTCGATATTTTCTGTTATTTTCAATTGATGAAGCAAGTGCTTTGTGCTTGGATTCCAGACAATCTACAGTCCAAGTTGCCTCAGGGAAAAAGAGGGGGGGCAAATGGGGGAATTGCTGTCAAAAGGAACAAAGGAATCTATACACTTCACAGCCATTCCTGAACCCTTCCAGGGAGTTATCTTTATCCGGCTGTTCAAAGCCCACTCCCCAATGACTTCCTGAGGACCCCCACGAGAGAAGAGGCTCTTGATGGTTCTCTGACAGTTTCCCCACTTTTTAGGTTCATGTATGTGTCCCACACTCAGTCTTGCCCGGTTACCTAGCATAACATTAGCAAATAAAACTTTTAAATAGTCCACCGGCAGTTTAGAACTCAACTAATTTTACTGATACTTTGAAGCATGTATCACAACACTGACTATGCCCATTTACTGATATGATTTATTTATTTAAATGTTTATACCACTGTATCAGGGGCGCAGGTGGCGCTGTGGGTTAAACTACAGAGCCTAGGACTTGCTGATCGGAAGGTCGGCGGTTCGAATCCCCACGACGGGGTGAGCTCCCGTTGCTCGGTCCCTGCTCCTGCCAACCTAGCAGTTCGAAAGCATGTCAAAGTGCAAGTAGATAAATAGGTAAACGGTGTTTCCATGCGCTGCTCTGGTTTGCCAGAAGCGGCTTAGTCATGCTGGCCACATGACCCGGAAGCTGTACGCCGGCTCCCTCGGCCAATAAAGCGAGATGAGCGCCGCAACCCCAGAGTCGGTCACGACTGGGCCTAATGGTCAGGGGTCCCTTTACCTTTACCTTACCGCTGTATCATCAAGGTGTACAACACTTTATAAAACAGATCTTTACAGATGTAAAATTTTCCAAAGGAGGACAACAGAAGAAGCTGGAAGGGGTGGTGAACATCAGAAGAAAACATAAATTTGTTACCTCTGAATATGTGTTCAGAGCTATTGAATACCTGTGGGACGATACCTCCTATTGGAGCTCACAGACAGAGCCATCCAAACCTGCTTCCTCTGCTAGGAGAAACCACTCCCCAGGCAAAACTGGAAGTATCAGGAAACCCCTCAAAAATCAACAACATATAACACAAAACTCGGACTACTACACATTATGCATTGAACCATACATTATCAACTGTAGGCAAACAGAAGCCCGGGAGACAAGGTATGGAAGTGAATCTAAAACACCCCCTCTACATTCCCCCATATATGGTGGCAGCAGAAGCTATAAGGATCTAGATCACCCAGCAGTATGTTAAACTCTCTGGAACCCTGAACAAGAAGAATGCCCTTCAGAAGCCTCTCTGAACAGAAATTGACAGGTAAGAAAGTTATGCTTTCCCCAGAGGTTCTGAGAGGGAAATGAACACCATTGAGACACAGCAAGACAGTACCAATACAGGGATGGTGTGTCTAGGGACTAGGGCTGCTGCTTTGATGTATTTTAACTGCACTTTATATTAATTTGTATATTTATTTTTACTTATTTGGAAGCCCAGGTTGAAAAAGCAGGTATAAACATTTAAAATAAAAAGGTGAATAATCTGGCAGATTTATTTCTGAAAGCTAACCCTCATAATTGTCAAACAAAAGTATTTGTTACTTGGAAAGCATTTCATGATGGGCCCCATATGGTTGTGATCCCATCTTCTGGAAGAAAGAAGGGGTGGGAATAGTCTGAAGCCTTTCACACTGAAGCTTCCCAAGAGTAGAATAGGTGACGAGTTCCTAACTTGTCTCTACTAACCTCCCCTGCACTTCTTCAAGTCATAAGACAGAAACACAAGTAAAGTTAGTGAGTAATCTGTGTGTCCATCAGTTGCCCACTCTGATACGCTTCTGTCTATTACCAACTGCAAACAGGGGCATGTTCACATCAGAACAGGAATCAGCGTGTTTTTACATGAGTAGAATGTATCCTTTTATTTAAAATGCATCTCTGGGTTATTTGTGGGGCCTGCCTGGTGTTTTTACATGAGCAGAATGTGTCCTTTTATTTAAAATGCATCTCTGGGTTATTTGTGGGGCATAGGAATTTGTTACCCTCCCCCCCAAAAAAATAGTCCAGCCCACCACATGGTTTGAGGGACGGTGGACCGGCTCACAGCTGGAAAAGGTTGCTGACCCCTGCCTTAAATACTTTCAATTTGGTGTAATAAATATGTCAGTCTGTGTCCAATGCACCATATAGTTGATAAAAAGATAATAAAGTCCAACTTTATAATGTATCAGTATAAAAGAGAAAAATATGCGCAGCTCTCCAATTCTTTCACAAGGTTGACAACATTTAATGATACCACACTTCTCTGAACAAAAATCAATCAATGGTTACACAGCGGTCTAATGAAATAATGTTGTATAGATGCTGTTTAAAATATTAAGATTGCATAAACAGCCCTGTCTCAAAGTAGACATGGCGTAGTGCTCTTTATACTTGCTCCATCAGTGCCTGCTGTATATGGTTTAGACCAATACGCCATGGAGAGAAACATAGTTTTATTCTACCAGTGCACAATGAAGCATGTTTGTGGACACTGAGCCAGCAGTGGAGTGCTGAAAACAACTTGGAACAACACAAAAAGTCTGAGGAAAGTGGCAACTGAGCCACCGCATGAAATCTGAGATGACACAGTACTGTGAAAGTACCGCCACATCAGTTTCTGCATGTCTGAATCGGCCCTAAGTATCATGAAGTCATAGGTATTTCTCATATGTACAAATAGAGTTGCTTGTGGCTGTTACATTGGATTCTAAGGCTTGTGTAGAAAGTATTTAAGTTCTACACAATCCATCAATGAGCAAAGCTGATCTAATTTGTGTGTACGACACCACAGACTGTGGACATTTAATGAACAGTGCTCTTGACAGCTTTAATAAAACATAGCATTTGCCAGCAGAGATAATTAGAACTGAAGCAGCAAAATTCTAGTGTTTGGCAACACAGATGAAACAACTTCATTAAAATGTACAGCTTCAGCAAATGAAAGGCAAGAAAGCACTGGACCCTGAAGAATCAGCCTTCTCAAAACTAATTGCTTCAGTGCTTCAACAGGCCAGCTATGAAATACCAAGGGTATAACAAGGAAAGGAAAATAAATAAATAAATTGGAATTCAGGGGAAAAAACAACCCACCAAAACTAATACTTTTTAGGGCACTAGCCTTTTTATTTACATTTTAAGCAGCACAGAATGACGGAATAAATTATTTTTAAGATTTTGAAACAAATAGGGATCCCCGCCCCAGGAAACCTAGCTATGTAGTCCACGTTAATGAATCAGATCTTAACATACTATTGAGTTTTGAAACAATTTAAGCTCCTAAGAGAAGAGATTCGTATTTATCTTTCAACTTTGACAGATCAGTACACAATGTAAGGGTTAATTTCAGGTATATAATTTAACTAAATCATAGGGTGCCATGACATTTCGCACAGTTATGTTATTCCACTTAATGAAATTACACTGGTTAAATTGCAGTTACTAGGGGCATCTCTCTCTCTGAGCTTCTACATGACCTTTGTTGGCAAACAAGATAATTATTGGGAGTGTGTGTGGGGGGGTGAAGTTCTCATATCGTTTTCTACAGATACAGTAATCTAGAATTGATGTGGGGGTGGTGGTTATGTCTTACATATTAAAAGGCTGTTTGGTGTAGCATTTGTGTGAAAACTAATAAAGCAAGCATCAATGTCTCTACTGGTTGTCTATGGAAAAAATAAGCAGCAGCAATGTTTTATGATGAATTTGGTATACGTTATTCCTACCAGCAAAGGGACGCGGGTGGCGCTGTGGGTAAAACCTCAGCGACTAGGACTTGCCGATCGCATGGTCGGCGGTTCGAATCCCCGCGGCGGGGTGCGCTCCCGTTGCTCGGTCCCAGCGCCTGCCAACCTAGCAGTTTCGAAAGCACCCCCGGGTGCAAGTAGATAAATAGGGACCGCTTACTAGCGGGAAGGTAAACGGCGTTTCCGTGTGCTGCGCTGGCTCACCAGAGCAGCTTCGTCACACTGGCCACGTGACCCGGAAGTGTCTTCGGACAGCGCTGGCTAACGGCCTCTAGAGTGAGATGAGCGCACAACCCTAGAGTCTGTCAAGACTGGCCCGTACCGGCAGGGGTACCTTTACCTTTACCTTATTCCTACCAGCACCCAGAAAGCCAAAATCACAGTCTAAAGATAGGTGGTTATTCTATTGTATAAATTTTTATTTGTATTATTTATATATGTTATTTATATATTATATATTTTATATCAATGTAATAAATTAATATTATATTTTTAATTAAAATTGTAGAATGAATCTACATTTGGTTTGTGACAAAGGGCTAAAACGTCACTTCCATGACTAATTATCCTTTTCTCCCCAGTAATGTAGAAGACTTCAGACTCTTGTTTTATTGCAGGTGTCTTCTTCTTCCCAA